CCAAACAATCCTCTAGATTAGACTGGAAGCCTGTGTCTGTTGACTAGCTCCACAAGGACACTGAAATCCCACTAAATTCACAAATGAAAAATGTCTGAAATATGTATCAGTAATGTAATTATATTTAGCATATAATCATCACAAAAGGAATGTGAAAAGTGTTTCTGATTCAGCATAGTCATGTGGAGGTGTTGATGAAAAGGTCTAATATATTTGGTGTTTGTCAGTAGAGTTTGGAATCATTTTTGAAGAGCTTATATATATTTTGATGAAGAGCTTGCTTTTGCAAAGGATGAGATGTTTTATGGCTTTTGTTTGTGTGTGGAATTTTGACACACATGGCCTTCGTTTCACTAACTGATTTAGAAATAGTGAATAGATAAGCAACAATGGCCCATACAATCACCAAAGTAAATATTATTCTTTAATTAGCTAGTAACTTTTAAGAGGTTTTACTTCCCTTTCTGAAACAGAAAAAATGCAGACTTTCCCTCACTTTGGGATCAATAGTCAAGCTGTCTTTTGAAATAGGCCCTTGGATTTTATTAGTTTCTCCCTACTGTGTTTTCAGCATTCATGTTCATATTCTGTTAACCAGCTTGGAGTTATCTAAGCATTTTCTTTAGGTGTTAGCTTCCCTTTTTAGCAATTATCATTGAGGTGAGCTTCATTTATTTTCATGTTTTGCAGTTGGAGAATTGCCAGACACATCTGACTCTGACTCTGAGATTGTGATAAAAACAACATCAAGAGAGTTTGATCTAGCTGATACACTGGTGAGTGCAATTTAAAACATATTTGGGTGATCATTTTTGTTATTAACCTGCCCTCAACCTGTGTGGGTTTTTGACATCGGCCTACCAATACTAAACAAATACTTGTATTTGAATTAAATTATGTCTTTACTACAGCCATTTGAACCTCATCACAAAAGCAGTCCTGTACACAAAGAGCCTGACAAGGTGTAAGTAGTTGTGTGTGTGTGTGTGTGTGTGTGTGTGTGTGTGTCTGTGTCTGTGTGTACCATAGAAAATTTAGCTTTTACTGCATTTGCATACATATTTATTTGCTATCGACATAGCTTTGTAATTTGTGGTTATTGTAACATTTACTATACGTAAATGCATTGCTACTCCAATCTCTAAATGTTTGTTTGGTTTTGCAATGTCACCAATATATTTTGGAGTACACTATGATTTATGCTTTTATGCCCTCTCAGGAATGGTGCTGGGGGGCTGTCACTCTCTACTGAAGTACAACAGGTAATGGAGTATTATAATAGTTACATAGAGTCCTCATTGTCCCATGACTT